TCGAAGATGGCACGTAGGTCACTGTGATTTCACGGTGATTTCAATACGGATATGGAGAGAGTATACTTCCTGTTTACAGAAGCAGTTGGAGATTTCAAGCCCTTTAGATTACTTGGTGATGGAAGTTGAGTATGCGGCGATATGTGAGTGCCGTTCAAACCGTGGCTCGATCGCATCGTTGGAGTAGGTCACACACCAGCATGAGCAGTTTGTAAAGCATTTTCACTTTCAAGGTCAATCTTTGACCCAGTTCTCGCATGTTTCCAGTTAGGCAATGAGCACAAATTGATGCGCAATAAAAAAACTTAGCCCGAGACACCTTGGCGACTCTCACCGACATTAACAAAATGCTCGAGCCATCTGTGCTTTGCCTCTCACTTCACACGTGGCCACGATGTCAGTCCAGAGAAACAATAAACTCGTCTAGCAAAATGAGACCAAATGTTTACAAATCGAATGACCGCTCTTGTTATCAGTCAGTCGTCCCGGACAGGTACTGACGGTACAATGACGAATACTGTCTTGATTCTTGGCCACTTACCTAACCCACGCATGTTGATCTACAGACAATTAATTGCCGGAATGGTAACTGCATGCTGACAAATGTGCAATGTTTACATAGGGTCCAGGTTACCAAACTTTTTGCGCGCTTCATTCCGTCAATCCACCATTGGCAGCCGTCAGTTCTTCCCCGTGTGTATCTGTCACATTCCGCATCACTGGCTCTGATTCTATCCAATGCTGCTGAAAGCCCTATATCATACACGTCCATTGTCGCTGCATGGGGATCATAAACAAAGCTATTGGCCACGTCTGAAAACACCTCAAAGGGAGTTCGAAACTGTACTAATGCTACCGCAGAATGGATAAATCCACGCAGTTAAAAACGCACTCTTATTTTGATTGTGAACACTCAGAAGCAGTAGAAATCATCAGATATGATACGCCCTTATATGCCCGATCAAAGGTACTCTCTATCAAAGGCAAATTATTGACTGGCCTGAAACAAACATTATGAATCCAGATAAAACCGGCCAGCTTGCTTAGCATTGTTCACCATTCGAACAGTTTAATGCATCTAAGTTAAACTACTTCAGGAGACACCTCAATCGCGCATCGAAG